TACCATCCTCTGTCACTTATTAACACATATTTAGAAATTATCACCAAAGCACTAGCCACTAGAATAGAGACAGTTACTCCAGTAATAATCCACCCAGACCAAACAGGGTTCATTAAAAGTAGACACACTTTGGAAAATACCCATAGTGTGTAATTGCACATTCATTGCTGATTGTTGCACATACAGCTGATGTGGCATATATTCTTATTATATTTTCCACTTACTGTTTTAAAATTATTTTGTATTATTATTTATCTAGCTTATATTTAGACTTTATATTGCTTGACATTCATTGTGGACAGCAAAGGAAGAATTTCATTGTGCAGGGAAAAATGTTTCCTTACTGTGCATATGACAGTAAACACTTTGATTTGATTTGATTTGACTATTTATCTTAAACAATCTTCCACAACAAAAACAAACCGACACCATAATTGCAACATTAGACGCAGAAAAAGCATTTGACAAAGTTAACTGGTCATTTCTCTTCAGCACACTATGCAGGTTTGGTTTTGGCGAGTCTTTCATCCACTGGATTAAAACACTATATACGTCACCTAGAGCTACAATAACCACAAATAGAATAACCTCACAAAGTTTCACACTTCACCGGGGAACCAGACAAGGATGCCCATTCTCACCATCTCTATTCGCTATTTTCAGTGAACCTCTAGTAGTAGCAGCAGCAATACAACAGAATAATAGCATCAAAGGAATACAAGATACTAATTCACAACATAAAATTAACCTCTATGCAGATGATTTATTATTATATTTACAGGGCTCTACAGTTCACTACAAGAAACTTTCTCCATTATTAACACATTCTCCAACTACGCAATAAACTGGAATAAATCCACCATATTGTTTGTCACTCTCTGAAGATGCCTGGGATTCTGCAGCTCAAGACTGCTCCCTTTGTCTCTTTTGTTAATGTCTGTTGTCTCATCTTTTATGTTATGTCCTTTGTCCTGTAAATGTGTTATTTTGTGTTGCAATTAAAAAAAAGAAAAAAAGAAAAAGAAAATATCATCCATGTAACCACAGCTAATGTTATTAGAAACTAGTCTTAAAGGATTCAGTCCATGTTAGGCTGGGAAGAGAAGAGCTCACCTGGATGACTGGCTCCTGAGGGTCATAGCCACTGGTGTACTCAGTGTTCCTGCACCAATCCTGCACATCGATCTCTGGCATCCCTGACAGCAGGAGCTCCTGCACACATGTTCACACACACACACACACACACACACACACACACACACATACAGCCACTGAACACAGGAAAACATCGCTAAATAAAAATAACATAAATCCCATAGTTGTAGTGTTAATAAGCCAATTCTGTCCACCTCTGATATGATGAACACAATGCAGTTTGACTACTAAACTGGTTATCTAAGGCGAGCCCTACCTGAAGGATGCACTGATCCAACCTCTTCTATCATGATACTGATTTGTATTACCTCAACTCAGAGTATCTACAAATACTGAGTATCAAGCCCATACCAGTGCTCTCTATTTCTCACAGTTGTACTCATCTGAATCAGTTTCATGCAAGGTAACCTGAGACCAGGAAATCTGTGCAAACTAAGTTGGCTGTCTGCTGTAACTGAAACTGTAATTGACAGCAGAAACAGTGATTTTTATTGTAATGACACTGACTATGAGTTTGGATCAGTCATGCCTAAATGCTCACTTGCAGATATCAAACCTGAATCATTTTTTGGTACAGACCAACATGTGTCTACACCACAGGTCCAGATTTAGTAAGCCACAGATGTGACACATTCAGCCCTAGACATAAGTTGCAGGCTGGAGTCACAGTGTGCGAGTTACTTGTACAAGTGTCTGTAGTGTGTCTCATTCCTTATTGCATATGCATTTAAGGGAGGATTCTGCTGGATTTACTGTGGTCATGCTTTTTGTGACTGTCAATTTTGAAGGAAAAATTCTCTGCCACTAAAAAGAAGACATGGTGCAGATGGGATTTACAAGAGCCGCAGGTAAGGCTGTGATGGCAGAAATACATTAGCATTGTGTAAACCAGGTTATTAGAAAAGATCAAAATATGTGTGGGGAATTGTGCTTTGTGTTCATCAAACTTAAATGTGAACTTAACCATCAATTATATTAACTACAGCCAAACCTTTCTTTGTTTTGTTAAGACATGTAGGAGATAGTTTGACTGCATTTACGGTTAACATCCATATACGCACCATCTCCACCTGCTCTGAGCTGCTCCACCTCTGTCTTTTTCCTCTAGCTGCAGTATCCAGATCAAAGTCTATATGAACTGGTTCTCCAGTTACCAGTTGCAGTGCGATGACAGCATGACCAAGGCATGTCCAACAAAAAAAATCCAGGGTGGGATAATCACCATGCTACACAACTGTCTCTTTGTGGACACGAGGACATAAAATCCATCAACAGACACAAAAAAGACCCAATAACAGAGATGGAAAAGAGGGAGTGATTCAAGGTGACCCTATTATCCCCCCAATTCCCTACCTACATATGGCTAATCAATCCCTGCATTACAGCCAAGCAGGCTGGTAAGCAGAGGGGAACAAGGAGAATACCAACTGTACAAGACGATGGATGAGAAGAGGAGGAAAAGTAGGGAGAGACAGGGAGGTCAGCGGAGGAGGACAAACCAATTCATATTCGTCGAAAAGCTGAATGAGTGAGGGGGGGATGAAGGTGTGGAATCCTTGCAAGAAGGCATTTATTTGAGGCTGGATGGCTCGTGTCATTCTCAGCTCAGTCACCAGCTGTACGTACTCGGCCTGAGAGAGGACACACACACACACACAGATCAAAGTCTTCAAGAAATACTGATGGACAAGAGAAGGAGACATAGCTCATACATAGTTATTTTTTCCTGTTGGACTGTTCTCTGCTTAATGAGACAGTGCCATCTGCAGGAACCCTGCGGCACTGCGCTCTTTAATTAGGACTCATCCAGGCAAAAATCTGGAGGAGAGAGATCAGTCGCTCATAGGAAACTCATGTGGTTGAATATACTAGAGGAGAACAGTCATTAACACCACCCTCAGCCACGCTGCTGCAGCCTGATACCACAAACATACACAAAGTTAGCCTGTAACTAACATTCAATGTCCTGTGTTCTCAACACACTTTTAATAGATAAAATGTGAGCACTAGCTATGCCTACATTTGTTAAAAAAAGAAATTAGGAAAATAGGACAGGGGTTAGTTTCTGAATGATTTAAAATACAGCTGGGTTATGTGACTTAAAATATTATCACAATAATAACAGTATAATAATTTATCCATTATCATATGAAACAAAAGAAATCCACTGAGTTTATAACTTTATTTGAGTCTGCAGACATAATTTTCCCTTTGATTGCAACATTCACCTTCATATAAAGACTTCCATTAATGCTCTGAGATATTTAGATTGATACACTTAGAAATGTGCATTCATTTTCTTTTGCACACTTTGTCAAAATTCAAAATGACACTACATTTAGATGGAAATACATCTTCAGAGAAATCAAGTTATGAAAAAAATTGAACAATGGGTTTACATGTACTGTAGAGGCCTGGTCACTATCAACATCCACATTTACATAAATACTTACATTTTTTGGGTCTCCAGGTTCTGTGTTTCAGTATATTCAATTTCAACTAAAAAGGTCTCAGCTTTAACTGGAGTATTTTTACAATAATACTGAAAAAACTGTGTGTGAGTCATAGCTTTTTAAAACAGTGCTCAAACTGCAAAGGTTCAAAACACTTGGCTATTAAATATTTCTTGAGCAGTTGTCTGGTATGTGTAGTTTCAGCACTAGTTCATGAACAAAAGAGCTCCCACCCAACTCAGTGTTGACTGAGAGACGAGAGTTGCCACTTAGATTAAGTTGTCTGTCAAAATAATGCATAAATACTTGACCATGCGAGTGAAGGAGATCATGGTGAGGCTGAAAAATCTATCAGAGATATCAAAGGTATTTGGTTTGCCAAAATCAACAGCTGGGTGCATTTTTAAAAAGAATCTGGTGCACACAGATAAAAAAGAAAATGTCAAAAAACCTGGTAGACCAAGGAGCAAGTGTAGTAGATGACAAATTATTTGTACCCTTTATGACTGCACAGTGAGGAATGCTCTCCAGGATGTAGGTGTACATGTTCCCTTGTCAACAGTAAGGAGAAAATTCCATGACCATAATTTCAGAGGATTCACCCTGAAATACAAACCCTTGGTAAGCCTCAAAAACAGAAAGACCAGATTGCAGTTCTCAAAAAAAGAGTCTGTGGGCTTGTCATAAAAATTACATTATTAAGCATGTTTTAAACTGTGTTTTAATAAATATATTAACCAACATATGTTATTTAATGGATTTTAAAACTTCCAGAACAGACCACAGATCACAGGGACCTGTGAGACACTGCCTGTGTGAACTGAAGGACATGTTTCATCTTTGTTTTAGTACTTTGTGTGTTGTTCAACCAAATGGCGCTCCAGACTTAAAGGAGCCATAAACTGTGCCTGCCATATACTGTGAAGATAAAAGAGGCACAACAGCTTGTTTAGTGTCTAAGGGGTTATCAGGGCAACCCCCTTCAACTTCTACTTTACAACTTGATTGACACCTGGGTTGCGTCTTCAGGGAGTTCCCTTTCTCTTATATATTGTGATGTTTAGACTAAGCTCATTCAGACAACTCTGTATGCTCATGCTGACTTGTCTCCTTGCTGCAAGTAAACCAATATCTTATTGAAAGATTCCAGTGACTTTGTTGCTTCTTTGTAAATTCTTTTGACAGGGCTCATGAACCAAAAATGTACCTGATCAAAATGAAGGAAAGAGGAAAATGGTAAATGGTCTTATACTTGTATAGCACTTTTCTATGCATTACAGCACACTCAAAGCGCTTTCACACTACTTGGCCATTCACCCATTTGCACTCACAAACACTCACACATTCATACACCGGTGTTATCATCAGGAGCAACTCGGGGTTCAGTGTCTTGCTCAAGGACACTTCGACATGTTGACTGGACAAGCCGGGAATCAAACCGCTAATCCTCTGGTTGGGAAACGACCCACTCTACTTCCTAAGCCACAGCTGCCCCAAAATGTGAAGAAACAGAAGGAAGAGCTCATGAGCCAAAGCGCCGCCTCATCAGTCAAACATGGTGTGGTTGTGTTATGGGTGGGGCTTGTGCGGCTGTTAACAGAACTGACAAATTGGCATTTATTGATGATGTCAACAGAAGGAATGCAGGGGTACATATACAGGAGCTTTCTGTGTGCTCAAAATCAGACAAATGCATCAACAATTAATTGGATGGCATTTCATTATTCA